GATAATAGGGCAAGTGACTGAAGTAATACTAGGGAAACACTTTGGGTCTAGTGATCATAATTCTATTTGTTTTAAAACTGTTATTGAAAAGGATAAGCCTTCCATAAAAATAAAAGTTTTTAATTGGAGTAAAACAAATTTTAATAGTATGAGACAAGAACTTTCAGAAATTGATTGGAGTAGACTGTTCGCAGATAAAGGGACGTCTGATAAGTGGAAGGCTTTCAAAAGCATGATAATGAGAGTTCAGAGTCATTATATTTCTGTGAGACATAAAGGTCAGGCTGGTAGGGTTAGAGAACAATTGATGAATAAAGATATTGAGGTTCTTGTCAGGAATAAAAAGAAGTCATGTATTAAATATAAAAACTGTGTTCAAATGAATCTCTTGAACAGTATAAAGAGTGTAGGGGCATTCTGAAGAGGGAGATCAGGAAGGCACAGAGAAGACATGAGATAGACTTGGCAAATAAGGTTAAGGATAATCCAAGAGATTCTACAAGTTCACTAAAAGCAAGAGAGCAGTCAGAGAGAGCGTAGGAAAGATTAAAAAGGTCATCTTTGTGTCGAACCTGAGGAGATGGAAGAGATATTAAAAGAATATTTCACATCAGTTTTTACTGTGGAGAAAGAAATGGAGGCTGGAGAATTCAGAGAAATAAATCTTGATGTTTTGAAAACAGTTCACATTACAGAAGAGGAAGTCCTGGAGGTCTTGGAAAATATAAAGGTGGATAAATCTGTGGGACCTGATCTAGTGTATGCCAGGTCTTCGTGGGAGGTGGAGAGGAAGTTGTGGGGCCCTTGCAGAAATATTTGTATCATCTATAACTATGGGTAAGGTGCCGAATGACTGGAGAGTGGCTGATGTTGTGCCTTTGTGTAAGAAGGGATGTAAGGAGAAGCCTGGGAACTATAGACCTATGAGTCTGACGTCGGTGGTGGGTAGGTTTTTGGAAGTGATTCTGAAAGATAGGATTTATATGCATTTGGAGAGTCAAGGAATGATTAGGGATAGTTAGTTAGAGATCTTGATCAATTGGGTCAATGGGCCGAAGAGTGGCAAATAAAGTTTAATTTAAATAAATGCGAGGTATTGAATTTTGGTAAAACAAAGACAAGACTTGTAGAATTAAAAATAGGGCCTTGGGCATTGTTGAAGAACAGAGAGACCAAGGGGTTCAAGCAAGGGAAATCGCATCTCACAAACTTGATTAAGTTATTTTGAGGAACAAGAAGACTGACAAGGCCAGAGCAGTAGACAATGTTTACTTGGACTTTCATAAAGCCTTTGACAAAGTTCCACATGGTAGACTAATTAGTAAAATTTGGATCACATGGGATTTGCACAGATACAAAATTAGCTTAACGGCAGGAGGCAGAGGGTGATGATGGTGGGTTGTTTTTTGGACTGGAGACCTGTGACCAGTGGCGATCCACATGGATTATTGCCAGGTCCACTTTTTTAAAATTCATTTGCGGCTAGCCAGCATTTGTTGCCTGCACCTAGTTGCCTTGAAACTGGGTGGCTCGCATTTCAGAGGGTAGTTAAGAGTCAGCCACATTGCTGTGAATCTGGAGTCACATGTAGGCTGAACCAGGTAAGGATGGCAGATTTCCTTCCCTGAAGGACATTAGTGAACCAGATGGATTTTTCTGGCAATCGGTAATGGTTTCATGGTCACCAGTAGATCCTTGATTCCCGATTATTATTGAATTCAAATTCTACCATTTGCCATTGCAGATTTGAACGCAGGCCCCCTGAACATTAGCTGAGTTTCTGGATTAGTAGTCTGGTGATAATACTTCTGGGCCATTGCCTCCTCTTTTGACAAAGTTTTGATTTTCATTTATATAAATGATTTAGATGTGAATACAGAAAGTATGGTTAGTAAGTTTGCAATTGACATCAATATTGGTGGTTTGGCGGGCAGTGAAGAAGGTTATCTAAAATTACAAAGAGATCTTGATCAATTGGATCAGTGGGCCGTAGAGTGGCAAATGAAGTTTAATTTAAATAAATGCAAGGTATTGCATTTTGGTAAAACAAACAAAGACTAGACTTGTACAATTAAAAATAGGGCCTTGGGCAGTGTTGAAGAACAGAGAGACCAAGGGGTTCAAGTACATAATTCTTTGAAGATTGCATCATATATAGATAGGGTGGTTAAGAAGGCATTTAGCACGCTTGCCTTCCTTTGTCAGACCTTTGAGTGTAAGAGTTAGGACATTATGTTGAGGTTGTACAGGACCTTGGTGAGACCTTTTCTGAGGTACTGTGTCCAGTTCTGGTCTTCCTGTAATAAGAAGGATATTATTAAGCCGGAGAGGGTTCAGAGGAGATTTACCAGGATCTTGCCAGGAATAGAGGGTTTGAGTTATGAGGAGAGGCTGAGATTTTTTTCACTGGAGCAAAGGAGGTTGAGAGGTGACCCCACAGAAATTTATAAAATTATGAGGGGTACAGATAAGGTGAATGGCAGGTGTCTTTTCCCTAAGGTTGGGGATTTTAAGACGAGGGGGCATATTTTTAAGGTAAGAGAAGAAAGATTTAAAAAAAACACGAGAGGTGTGTAGATAAGAGTAGTACATTTGATGTAGTCTACATGGACTTCAGTAAAACCTTTGACAAGGTCTTGGATGTTAGTCTGGTTAGGAAACTAAGAGCCAATAACATTCAGGACAGTTTGCTAAAACGCATCCAAAATCCGATTAGAGGCAAGAAGCAGAGGGTGATTTTTGAAGGACATATTTGTTACTAGAAACCTCTAACCACTGGCATACCACAGTTTACTGTGTGTAGTATACAATAATGATCTGGACATGAATGTAGGAGGTATGGTCAGTAAGTTTGCAGATGGTTTGGTAAGCAGCAACTGGAAAACCTTAGATTCAAGGACAATATAGACAGGCTGGTCAAATGAGCTAATCAGTGACAAATGGAATTTAAACCTGAAAGTGTGAGGTGATGTGTCTTGGGAGGACTAACAAGGCAAGGGAGTATACATTGAATGATAGGACCTTAGGAAGTACTGATGATCAGAAGAACCATGGTGTGCATGTTCTTAGATCCTTGGAGGCAGCATTACAGGTAGATTAAATGCTACATGTTGGATGCTTGCCTTTATTAGTCAAGACAGTGAATACAAGAGCAAGGAGCTGTACATAACATTAGTTAAGTCACAACTGGGGTGCTGTGTGCAGTTCTGATTGCCACTATAGCAAGAATGTGTTTATACTAGAGAAAGTGCAGAGGAGATTCACCAGGATGTTGCCTTGGCTGGAGCGAGTCAGCTACGAAGGGAGACTAGATAGGCTGGGGTCGTTTTCCTTAGAGCAGAGAAGGCCGAGAGAGGATCTGATGGTGGCTCAGTTGTTAGCACGGCTGCCTCACAGCGCCAGGGACTTGGGTTTGATTCCACCTTCGGGTGACTGTGTGGAGTTTACATGTTCTCCCCATGTCTGCGTGGGTTTCCACCAGGTGCTCTGGTTTCTTCCCACAGTCCAAAGATGTGCAAGTTAGGCAGATTAGCCATGCTAAATTACCCATAGTATCCAGGGATGTGTAAGTTAGATGTGTTAGTCATGGGAAATGCAGGGTTACAGGGATAGGGCAGGGGATGGGTCTGGGTAGGGTGTTCTTCAGACAGTCGGTGTGGACTTGTTGGGTCGAATGGCCTGTTTCCACACTGTAGGGGTTCTATGGAGTTTACAGACCTATGAGGAGCATAGATAGGCTAGATGGGAAAAAGCTTTCTCCTTAGTAAAGGGTCAGTAACCAGGGGACTCAGTTTCACGGTAAAGAACAAGATGATAAGGAAAAATCTTTTCACACAGAAGGTGGTGGGTATCCAGAATTCACTGCATAAATGGTGGTAAAGGCAGGAATGTTCAAGACATTTAAGAATTATTTAGATGAGCACAGTGCTGGAAAATGGGATTAGAATAGATAGATCCCTGATCACTAGAACAGACACAATGTGCTAAAGATTTTTTTCCATCCTGTAAAAACTCTGTGACTCTGTCTGTCAAACCCAGTATTCATGAATGACCAATGATAAAAACATTCTGAGCTCTCTCTGTTTATCTGCTACTGGAAACCCCAGTGCTGCTCATGAGGATATTGAGCCAGTCATACCTTACCTGCCTATCCAATTACCCTAATTCCTTTTAACGTTCTCAATGTGCATGGCTCAAGGATTCCCAGAAGGAACAAGGTTACAGGGATGCACTCAGTTAGATACAGCCTGGAAAAATAATTGATCTTAAGCTACTTGCACTGTGGTACTATTACACCAAAAGCTGGTCAGGGATATGTAGAGTCATAGAGATGTACAGCATGGAAACAGACCCTGCTCCCCTGCACTAGCTCCTTGGCCACGCATTCATCTGCTGTATCCTCCTATTCCTACCCTCACTAGCTTCTGGCACTGGGAGTAATCCAGATATTACTACCCTCAAGGACCTCGTTTTTAAATTCCTGCCTAACTTCCTATATTCTCTCCTCAGGATCTCATCCTTTTCTTTTCTTATGTCGTTAGTTCCAATGTATACAACAATCTCCTGTTGGTCCCGCTCCCCTCTGAGAATATTCTGCACCCTCTCCATGATATCTTTGATCCTGGCTCTGACTAGAGAGTACCCTATCACCCCTTGTTACATTAGAGCCAGCCTCGGTACCAGAAACCTGGCTGTCAGTGCTACATTCCCCTGAGAGTCTGTTGCCCCCTACATTTTCCAAAACAGCATACTTGTTTGAAATCGGGATAGCCACAGGAGAGTGCTGCACGACTTGTCTCCCTCTCCTTCCTTACCTGGAGGTAATCCATCTACCTGACTATATCTTCGGTTTACCCTTCCTGCAACTGCCATCCATCACACCCCCTAGCTCCTGTAAATTCCTCATTGCCTCAACTGCCGTTCCAGCCAATCCATGTGATGCGATAGAATTCTCAACCAAGCACACTTCCTGCAGATATAATCATCAGTAACGTGGAAACTTTCCCTAATCTTCCACATCTGAGAGGAACAGCACGTCACTGTACTAAAGGCCACCTTTGCACCTTGACAATCTACCGTCCCAGAAAATAGCACAGTGTTACCGCTCTAAAAAACACTGCTCCAGGCGAACATAGCACCTATATGTTTAATTTTTAAAGTTTAATCAAGAGACAGATCTCAATAAAACATATAATCAAAAAAGAACCCACTCTACTCACCATTGTAGATTCACAAAAAAACAGTAAGTATGATAGACATAAATAAGATAACACAGTGTGGAGCTGGAGGAACACAGCAGGCTAGGGATCATCAGAGGAGAAGGAAAGTTGACGTTTCGGGTCGGGATCCTGTCCTGCTGTGTTCCTCCAGCTCCACACTGTGTTATCTCTGACTCCAGCATCGGCAGTTCTTACTATCTCTGAGTGAGTTATGACCCCACTGCGAAGCCTCTTCTAGGGATGATTACCTGGCCTGCTGTGTTGCTCCAGCTCCACACTGTGTTATCTCTGACTCCAGCATCGGCAGTTCTTACTATGTCTAAGTATGATAGACAGAAGCTTTGCCTGGCAAGCCCTTCTTCAATCACTGAACAATGAGTCTGATTCTAGCCTTCTTTTTGTGACCCTGACTCAAAACAGCACATTGACTCTTCAATGTCTGATCGGTACAATGCTTTAACTCTATTGGCATGCTGCAAGAGTCAAAGTGCAGTCATGGTTGGACTGACCCTTTGCTGTACGAAAAGCCTCACAGTTCTGTTTATTTTCAGGGCACAGCAGCTGTATTCTGGTGGGGCATGACTGGGGTGGCATCCTGGCTTGGAACTTCGCAATTCGCAATCCAGAGATGGCGGAGAGATTGATAATCTTGAACGCGCCACATCCAAATTCGTTCCAAGGTGAGCGGAAGACTTCTTTTTATTTCCATAATGATTGAAGAACAAATCATGAATGTGCTGTCAAACTGTGGAATGATGAAAGATACAGCATTGAAAGAAGTCATCAGCTCATTGTGTCTATAGTAAAACGATCCAGCTTAATCTGTTCTTCCTCACTGCCTTTTTATTCCTTTTGAATGTTACTAATGAATTGACTTCCAACACACTTTCAGTCATTGAGTTATACAGCATGGAAACAGAACCTTCGGTCCAACCAGTCCGTGCCGAACATTACCCCAAACTAAACTAGTCTCAAGTGCCTGCTGCTGGCCCATATCCCTCCAAACCTTTCCTATTCATGTATCTATCCAAATGTCTTTTAAATGTTGTAATTGTATCTGCATCCATCACTTCCTCAGGAAGTTCATTCCACATGTGAACCACCCTCTGTGTGAAAAATTTGCTTCCCATGCCATTTTTAAATCTCTCTCCTCTCATCTTAAAAATGTGACCCCCACTCTTGAAATCCCCCATCCTAGGGAAAAGACAACTACTATTAACTCTATTCGTACCTCTCATTATTTTATAAACTTCTATCAGGTTGCCTGTCAACCTCCTATACTCCAGTGAAACATGTCCCAGCCTATCCAGCCTTTCTTGAGAACTCAAACCTTCCATAACAACATCCTGGTAAATCGCTTCTGATCCCTCTCTAGCTTGATAATATCCTTCTTACAACTGGGTAACCAGAATTGGACACAATATTCCAGAAGAGGGTCATTGTGTTCCTAATGATACAGTTCACTTTGTTAAGTGAAAAAAATTCTTTGGACACTTATGCTTCTTTAGCCAAGCAGCTTAAAACCTTCTTCCACTGTCTGCTACTAGAAATTGTTTATTGATGGTATCAAAATCATTCATGATTTTGGAAACCTGTATCAAATCACCCATCAATCTCACTCTGCTGTAACGTCAAGAACTCCAACTTCTCCAGCCTCTGCACATAACTGAAGTGCCTTGTTCCTGGCACCATCAAAGTAAATCTTATTTTTAATTCATGGGTGGCTGTTGCTGACTAGGCCAGCATTTATTGCTTATCCCTAATTGCCTGTGTTCCGAGGCTTTGCTTGTCACATTGCTGTGTGACTATAGTCACTGTATGCCAGGTCAGGCCACTTAAAGGTGGCAGATTTCCCTCCGTTAAGGGCAGTAGTAAATCAGATGTGTTTTTGTGACAATTTACAATGTTTGCTTGGTCACTATTAGGTTATCTTTTAATTCCAGTCTTTATTGAATTCAGATTTCACCATTTGTCAGGGTAGGAATTGAATCCATGTCCTCCGAACCCTCGCGAGGGATTGTGGACTATTAATCCAGTGACATTATCATTTCGCCAATACCTCTCTGCACCCTCTCCAAGGTCTTCGTATCCATCCTAAAGTGGAGGGCTTGGAATTGAGCACAATACTTCAACGAAGACACAGGCAGCATTTTACTTAGCACAATTTCCAGGCTTCTGTAATCTATCTCTCTATCAATAAAACCCAGAACCCCCTTTGAACAGCCTTCTGAATTTACTTTGTCACCATCAAAGATTCGTGTACGTGCTCACCCAGATCTTTCTGTTCCTGCATTCCCTTTGAAATTGTATCACTGAATTTGTATCATCTCTCCTCATGGTTCACACCAAAATACACCATGTCACACCTCTCCGTATTAAATTTCATCCGGCAATGTCTTCACATCTACTCTGTTTCTGTCGTCTTGAAATCTGTTTTGCATAATGTATAGACTTTGAAATGATCCCTTGTATACCCAAGATTTAGTGATTAGAATAAGGTCAACCGGGTGGATATCATAGATGATGAAGGGTCCGATGAAGGGTCTAGGCCTGAAACGTCAGCCTTTCTGCTCCTATGATGCTGCTTGGCCTGCTGTGTTCATCCAGCCCTGCACCTTGTTGTCTCGGATATCATAGAATATCACTTTCTTGATTGTGGCTTTTAATCTGGTCCAATCAGGGAGTCCTGGCTGACAGATATAAACAGGAGTCTCGGGGGTTATGTTCACTCTAGGAGCTGGCTCTGACCTTGCTGGGTCAGTGACATTACTATGCACATGTAAATAAAGGGTGACTTGATGATGGGATACTGGCCTTTGTGGAATTATTTCTGTGGCGATGAGTGTGAAAAACATGCCCCTGAAAAGATTCGTTCGCAACAGTCGTCTTTGAGTTGGGGTAAGCATTTTTGGTGTCATGTTGCTATTTGGGAAGCTTGACTTGTTCAATCCTGCTGTCAAAGAATGCACCCAGTATGTGGAAAGAATGCATTTTTTTTTCAAGCAAATGACATTGGGGCAGACGAAAAGCAACGAGTAATTCTCCTGACAATTTGTGGACCTGCAGCTTTCTCAGTTATTAGAAGCCTGACTTTCCCTGAAGCCACCAGATACTGAAACCTTTCAAGAGGTGGTTGACTTAGCTAAGGAATATTGTGACCCCAAAGCCTCTATGAATTCTGAGACACTATTGGTTTTACTCGGCAGTTCGAGAACCAGGCGAATCTGCATTGGGATTTTTGATGAGGTTAAGACAACTGGCGGAGGCATGTGATTTTGGTTACCCTGAGTGAGATGCTGAGAGACTGTTTGATATCTGGGATTAATGATATGACTGTGCCTAGTCGCTGAAGGCCAACTGGACTTCAAACAGGCACCACAACTGGATTTGTCATTAGAAAATGCAGCAAGTGGAGCTTATGAGTTACGAGGTATTCTGAAGGAAGTGGACACCCTCAGGCTAAATCAGGTTGAGTGAAGGCAGTTGTGTAGCCTCACTCAGGACATATCCTGAACAGGGATCTAGGTCAGGCCACAACAAAACCCTAAAACAAAGCCTAGCCTCAGCCAAATAGTTAAAATTTTTTAAGGATTCGGGCCGGCAGGCCTTTTAGTTGCTACCAATATATGGACTCTAGACAGCAAAAGAATCCCACTAGGCCTGATTTGAATAAGATAACTTATAGGCTGGTATCCAGGAGAGTGCACACCCTGGAAATCCACCTACAACTGGTTTCAAATAGTTGAATTGTTTAGCAACATCCAAATCAGGACCAATCAAAATAAACATCTGGCCAAAAGATCACCCAGTTCTAATTGAGGTCAATACTGGTGTGGCTGTGTCAGTGATTGCAGGACCAGTCTTCTCCAAAGTTCATTCAGCACTCCAACCCTTAAGTTTGCATAAGACCTCGGCCAGGCTGAGAAACTATACCAGTGAATCCCTATGGATTAAGGATACAACTTTGGTTCCAGTCTGTTATGTAAGACAGCTGTTTCGGTTAGCATTGATTGTAGTAAAAGGCTCTGGCCCAAGCTTGATGGGGCAAAATAGGTAGAGAAAGGTTCCACTTGATCGGCTCAGCATCTTTGCTTAGAAAATGGCTACCTGAGTGAAGTCTAATTGAATACTCGGAAGTTTTTCAGGAAGGTCTAGGGACTATCAAAGAGGCCAAGGCCACCTTACATATTAACCAAAAAGCCATTCCATGATTCTGCAAGACCCACCCAGTGCCATTTTCCTTAGGTATAAAAGTAGAGACAGAAATCAGGAGTACAGTTTGTGGAATGGGCAGCATGAGGATCACATGAAAGGTGCAACCTTGCAAATGGGGCAGGAACATAACATTCCCGGTCCCTCAGAGCATCTGGCAAGACTGTCAGAACCTGTGGGTTTCCCCCTCCATCTAGCATCAAAGAAAACTCTGAGGATGAGATGGACACAGCAGATGTTGCAGTTTTGACGCCATTACCATCTGAAGAAGATGAATTTTGACCGAGATCCTTTGGATGCAAGATGGGGGGTCTACGGTCTAGTACACGCAGAATCGGAGGAACAGGACTTAATGCAAGAATGCCCCAGGAAAAAGATATAAACTGGACTGTCAGCGGTTATGTTCACTCTAGGAGCTGGCTCTGAGCTAGCTGGGTCAGTGTCATGTACTATGCACATGTAAACAAAGTGTGACTTGGTAACAGGATTCTGGCATTCGTGGAGTTATTTCAATTACAATATATCTAAAAGAGTAATGGGCCTAATACCTTAGGAACTCCATTGTATACCTCCCTCTAATTTCAAAATAAACCATCATCACTACTGTCTGCTTTCTACCCTTTTAGCAAATTTTAATGCTTTAAACTTGCTTTAATTCCTTTAATCCAGTTTAACTTAGATAACAATTCTAATGTGTACTACTTAGTCAATTGTATCTTGAAAGTCTGTAAAGTTCTGAATCACCCTCAACAATTCTCTCTGTTCTCAGACCCTTAAAAATTGTTTTGGAATGGGGAGTGGAGAGAGAAGAGTCAGTAAACTATAATGGGTTCAGTGGAAAGGAGATCATCACGTAGTGGCTGATTTGAGCAAACCATAGAGTATGAAACACAACAGGGAGTTGTATAGATTACTGGATGAGTGTTTCATCTGAGATCACACTTGCTTTAGGCTTTTAAAATTCAAAGTACTTTACAGTGTTCACTGCGTATTAACTGATCATCCTGTTGCTGATTGTGGAATCTCGCTTCTCACAAAAGTGACTGCATTCATTAGTTTGGGAAACACTTTGAGACATTTCTAAGTGATATGATAAAATGCCAAATGAATGTGAGTCTTGTTAGCGTTTTGCTAAACCAAGGTGAATATGTGCTTTAGTTATATTTGTGTGGTATTTACTACTTGATTTAGTTAAGTGTAAAACGACTCGAATATAGCTGATGTGACTGTCCATTTTCATCCATAACTCTGCAGTTAATTTTCAACAAGTTCTGTTAACCTATTGCATATATACCCACTGCATTGTGCTTGGTCCCAGTCTGGCAGAACTTCAATCCTGAAATTTTTATCCTAGTTTTCAATTCTTGTCATGGTCTTGCCCTTCATTATTTCTGTAAGTTTCTCCAGATATACAGTCCTCTGAGGTGCCTGTGTTTCTTCAATTCTGGCTTCTCATGCCTTCAGTTACCTGGATCTTACACTCTGGAATTCCCTTCCCAAACTCGTGCTGTCTTCTAATTTAAGAGATTACTTAAAGTCTATTTCTGCGATGAGGTTTTTGACCATCTTGTTTTAATATTCCCTTACATGGCTCAGTGTCAGATTTCGTTTAATAACACTTCTGTGAAGCTCCTTGAAAAGTTGAGTTATACGAACAGTGCTATATTTGCAGTTGTACAGGATATTGGTGAAGTCACAGTTTGGAGTACTGTGTACAGTTCTGGTCACACTGGTATAGGAAGGATATTATTATGCTGGAGAGGGTGCAGAAGGGATTTATGAGGATATTATCAGGACTGGAGGGCTTGAGTTATAGGGAGAGGTTGGATGGGCTGGGACCTTTTTCAACAGAGCGTAGGAGGTTGAGAGATGACCTTATAGAGGTTAATGAAGTCATGAGTGGCATAGATAAGGTGAATAGCAAAGGTCTTTTCCCTAGCATTGGGTAATTCAAAACTAGAGGGCATACTTTTAAGATAACAGGAGGAGAAAGATTTAAAAGGAATCTGAGGGACATCATTTTCGTACAGAGGGTGGTTTGTATGCGGAATGAACTGCCAGAGGAAGTGGTAGATGCAGGTACAGTTACAACATTTAAAAGACATTTTAACAGGTACATGAATAGGAAAGGTTTAGACGGATATGGGCCAAATGCGGGTAAGTGGGACTAGGTTAATTTGGGAAACTTGATCAGCATGGACGAGTTGGATAGAAGGTCTGTTTCTTTGCTGTATGACTGTATGACTATATCAGTGCAAGTGTTTTTTTCAGATTACCTGACTCCATCCCAGCTGCTGAAGTCCAGCTATGTATTTTTCTTCCAATTGCCGAAGCTTCCTGAGCTTTTCATGTGTATGGATGATTTCAAGGTAAACAGCTCTCTTCCTTTTCTGAAAACATTACCTGCTCCCTGGCTACCAGGTTTCAATGTACCCTGCTTGCGCTCATTGCCTCATGTTATTCCTCATGTCTAAACCTCTGGAATATGTTTGGGATGGACTATTTTATCATGGCTTGCATTCAATGTCATACCCTATCCTATCACCAATTGTCTTGACACTGTCTGCAAGCGTAGAGGAGGCAATTTCAATAGTAACTTCAAGGGAGACTTGAAACGAAACTTTTGCTGGTTTACTCCTTAAAATGAAAAGGGACCGAGTAGAGCAAATTGGATAACTCTGACAAAGAACCAGCATAGGCATGACATGCTGAAAAGCTCCCTTCTGTGTAGGTTTTTAATGTCTGGTAAAAATTAGAAGCCAAATCTGGCAGGTTTTCTTGGCCCCTATAAGGGCGCTGAGTCTAACTATAATCCCTCAACTGGCCAACCCACTCAGACTAAGGGGAGGCACTGGCATTAGCAGTACTATCATGGGAATAGTAATCCAGGGACCTAGGTAATGTTCTAGGGCCTTCTGGATTCAAATCCCATGGTGGCAGATGGTATAGTTTGAATTCAGTGAAATTAAAAGTCTAAGGATGACTATGAAACCATTGTCAAAACCATCATTGTCATCACTGAAGACTGTCCTCAGCTGGTCTGGCCTACATTTGACTCTATACCTACAGCAATGTGGTTAAGTCCTAACTGCCCTCTGAAATGCCACTCAGCCTAGCAAGTCACTTAGTTGTATCAATCGCTAAAGAGTCTTAAAAATTGATGCAACCAGACTGCCCAACTGGTATTGACTAAGGCAGTAGAAGAACAATGGCAAGCACATCCCTGTCAACCCTACCAGCTCTTCCTTACTAACAACTGGGGACAAGTTCCAAAATTGGAAGAGCTCTGTCACAGCAACAGTCTGACATAGTCATGCTCACAAATCATGCCTTACGTGAAATGCCCCAGATAGCACCATCACCATTGCTGTATACCCTGTCCCACTGGCAGAGCAGACGCAACATAGGTGGCAGCACTGTGGTATACACTTGGGACAGAGTTACCCTGGGAAGTCCTCAACATTGACTTTGGACACGATGGGTCTCATGGCATCAGGCCAAACATGAGCAAGATAACCTCCTGCTAATTTCCACATAAAGCCACCATGCCCTCCCAGCTGATGAGTCAGATCTCCTCCATGTTGAAGTGGAAGCACCGAGGGTGGCAAGGTTGCAGAATATACTCTTAGTGGGGACCTTCAGTGTTTACCACCCAGAGTAGCTCGGCAGCACTATTACTGATTGAGCTGGTTGGATCCCAAAGGACATTACTGCTAAACTTTGTCTGTAGCAAGTGTTGAGGGAAATGGGAAGAGGTTAACCTCATACTTGACCTCATCCTTACTAGCCTGCTTACTGCAAGTTCATCTGTCCATGATAGCATTGTAAGAGTGACCACCTCGCAGTCCCCGTGGAGACCAAAATCCGCTTTCACATCGAGAATATCCTACATTGTGTTGTGTGGAACTATCGTGTGCTGAATGGGATAGACTTGGAGCAGATTTAGCAATTCAAGGATGGGCATCTATGAGGTGATGTGGGCTATCATCATCAGCAGAATTATAATGCAACCCAGTCTGTAACCTCATGGCCTATTATTTCCCTCACTGTACCATTATCATCAAGCCAGCTTCTTTGAAGATACAGGAGGGCACCAGGTATACCTAAAAATGAGGTGTCAACCTGGTGAAGCTACAAAACGGGACTACTTGCATGCCCAAATGCATAAGAAGAATTTGATAGAGCTAAGCAATTTCACAACCATTGGATTAGAGCTAAGTTCTTACAGTCCTGCCGCACACAATCGTGATTGGTGATAAACAATTAAACAACTCACTGGAGGAGGTGGCTTCATAAATATCTCCAACCTCAATTACAAGGGAGCACAGCACATCAGTGCAAAACATTGGGCTGAAGCATTCTCGTATCTTCAGCCAGAAGTGCAATGTGGATGGTGTCAAGTGATCTGTCACCTCCAGAGGTTTCTAGCATCATAAATGTCAACTTGATTCACTCCAGATGATATCAAGAACCAGTTGAAAGCACTGGATACTGCAAAGACTATGGGCCCTGACAGCATTCTGGCAATGATTTTGAAGATATTCTCTAGAACTTGCTGTGCCTCTAGCCAAGCCGTTCCAGTATTGCTACAACACTGGCATCTGTTTGACAGGTTATATTGCATATGTATGACCTGTATGTAAAAAGCAGGACAAATTCAACCCAGTCATCTCCAAGAAGAGAGAATCTAACCTTTTCCCCTTGAAATTCAATGGCATTACCATAACTCATCTCCTACTATCAACGTTTTGGGGCTTACCATTCACCAGAAACTTAATTGCCTAGCCTTATAAATACTAAGGCTGTAAGATCAGGTCAGAGGCTAGGATGCCTGCAGTGAGTAACTCACTAATCTGACTCCCTAAGGCTTACCCAACATTTGCAGGGCACGAGTCTGGAATTTGATGTAATACTCCCCACTTGCCTCGATGAGTGCAGCTCCAACAACACTCCGGAAGTTTGGTACCATCGAGGAGAAAGTGGCCTGTTTGATTTGCACCTCATCCACAAATATCCACTCCCTCTAAACTGTCACTCAGTACCTGCACTGTGTAGCATCTACTAGACACACTGCAGACACCAAGGCTCTTTAGACAGCACCTTGAAAACCCACACTCACTTCCGTCTAGAAAGTCAAAGGGCAGGTACATGGAAATACAACTACGTACAAGTTCCTTCCCAAGCCACTTAACATCCTGACTTGGAAATATATCACCATTCCTTCAGTATTGTTGGATGAAATTCCTGGAACCCTCTCCTTGATGGCACTTGGGCCTATCTGCACTATATGGACTGCAATTGTTCAAGATGGCAGCTGACTGTAATCTTCTCTTGGGCAACTGAGGATGGGCAATAAATGCTGGCCTAGCCAGCAATACCCACATCCCATGAATGAATTAAGAAAAGAATTGTTATCTAAACACTGGAGTGGGATCCTGTTACCTGTTGATCTATTCACCACATGTGTGTGGATTATTTTATTTAATACACTTTTTATTTTAAATGCTGCACAAAATCTATCTCTGGTATTTTTTTCTAGGCCCTGAAGAGCGTATACATGAATAAACAAATGGGAATTCAGAATAAAAGCAGCAGGTTGACTGAAGAAGAGTTAGAGGCTTATGTCTACAACTTCTCTAAGCCTGGAGCTCTGGTGGCCCCCCTCAACTACTATAGGAACATCTTCAGGTAGGGAATTCACTTGATCATGCTTTATCTTAACCTTTCCAAGATTCGTTTTCCTTCTCTTCCTCCCAACGTGCGAAACTGTGAATTTGTCTGCTTTGGCGGGAAGAATGGAGGAAATGTTTAAATGGAGAGGGTGTATAGTTTTCTGGTACATTAATCACAAAAAGTCAGTATGCAGGTACAGCAGGTGATTAGGAAGGCAAATGGAACAATTTATTTCATTGTTTATTGTACTGGGAATGGAATATGAGGATAGGGATGTTATGCTACAGTTGTGCAGTGCATTGGTGAGACCATGTCGAGATACCTTGTATAGTTTTGGTCTCCTTATTTTAAAAGGGGCATAATTGTATCCAAAGTCATTCAGAGCATGTTCATTCGACTGATTCCTGAGATGAGGAGGTTATCTTATGAGGAAAAAATGGGCAGGCTGGGGCTGTATTCATGGAGGTTAGAACTTATAAGAGTTTATCCATTGAAATGATCTTATTGAAACTTATATAATCTTGATGGACCTTGACAGGGTAGATGCTGAAAAGACATTTTCCCTCATGGGTGAGACTTGCGCAAGTGGACACAGTTTAAAAGCAAGAGGCCTCCCATTTAGGACATAATGAGGAGATTCTCTTTTTAAGAGAGTCATTTGTCTTTGGAACACTCTTTCCTAGACACCAGTGGATTCCGGTTCATTGAATACATTTCAGGTAAAGTTAGATAGGTTCTAGACTAGAGATAGTAGGAACTACAGTTGCTGGAGAATCTGAGATAACAAGGTGTAGAGCTGGATGAACACAGCAGGCCAAGCAGCATCAGAGGAGCAGGAAGGCTGACGTTTCGGGCCTAGACCCTTCTCAGAAATGGGGGAGGGGAAGGGGATTCTGAAATAAATAGGGAGAGCGGGGGAGGCGGATAGAAGATGGATAGAGGAGAAGATAGGTGGAGAGGAGACAGACAGGTCAAAGAGGCGGGGATGGAGCCGGTAAAGGTGAGTGTAGGTGGGGAGTTAGGGAGGAGATAGGTCAGTCCAGGGAAGACGGACAGGTCAAGGGGGCGGGATGAGGTTAGTAGGTAGGAAATGGGGGTGGGGCTTGAGGTAGGAAGAGAGGATAGGTGGGAGGAAGGACAGGTTAGGGAGGCGGGGACAAGCTGGGCTGGTTTTGGGATGCGGTAGGGGGAGGGGAGATTTTGAAGCTTGTGAAGTCCACATTGATACCATTGGGCTACAGGATTCCCAAGCGGAATATGAGGTGCTGTTCCTGCAACCTTCGGGTGGCATCGTTGTGGCACTGCAGGAGGCGAGGCCCAAGATGGACACGTCGTCTGAGGAATGGGAGGGGGAGTTGGAATGGTTCGCGACTGGGAGGTGCAGTTGTTTAGTGCGAACCGAGCATAGGTGTCCTGCAAAGCGGTCCCCATGCCTCCGCTTGGTTTCCCCGATGTAGAGGAGGCCACAACGGGAACAGCGGATGCAGTATACCACATTAGCAGATGTGCAGGTGAACATCTGCTTGATGTGGAAAGTCTTTTTGGGGCCTGGGATGGGGGTGAGGGGGGAGGTGTAGGGGCAAAAAAAGGTGTAGCACTTCCTGCAGTTGAAGGGAAAAATGCCGGGTGTGGTAGGGCTGGAGGGGAGTGTGGAGCGGACAAGGGAGTCCCGGAGAGAGTGGTCCCTCCGGAGAGCAGATAAGGGTGCGGAGGGAAAAATGTCTTTGGTGGTGGAGTCGGATTGCAGATGGCAGAAGTGTCGGAGGATGATGCGCTGGATCCGGAGGTTGGTTGGGTGGTACGTGAGGACAAGGGGGATTCTGTTCTGGTTGTTATTGCGGGGAGGGGGTGTGAGGGATGAATTGCGGGAAATGCGGGAGACACGGTCGAGGGCGTTCTCGACCACTGAAGGGGGGACGTTGCGGTCCTTGAAAAATGAGGACATCTGAGATGTACGGGAGTGGAATGCCTCATCCTGGGAGCAGATGCGGCGGAGGTGAAGGAATTGGGAATAGGGGATGGCCTTTTTGCAGGAAGGTGGGTGAGAGGAGGTGTATTCTAGGTAGCTGTGGGAGTCGGTATGCTTGAAATGGACATCAATTTTCAGGTGGTTGCCAGAGATGGAAATAGAGAGGTCCAGGAAGGAGAGACCGCTCTGGCATCTCTGGCAACCACCTGGAAACCGATATCCATATCAAGCCCACCGACTCCCACAGCTACCTAGAATACACCTCCTCCCACCCACCTTCCTGCAAAACTGCCATCCCCTATTCCCAATTCCTTCGCCTCCGCCGCATCTGCTCCCAGGATGAGGCATTCCACTCCCGTACATCTCAGATGTCCTCGTTTTTCAAGGACCGCAACTTCCCCCCTTCAGTGGTCGAGAACGCCCTCGACCGTGTCTCCCGCATTTCCCGCAATTCATCCCTCACACCCCCTCCCCGCAATAACAACCAGAACAGAATCCCCCTTGTCCTCATGTAACACCCAACCAACCTCCGGATCCAGCGCATCATCCTCAGACACTTCCGCCATCTGCACTCCGGATCCAGCGCATCATCCTCAGACACTTCCGCCATCTGCAATCCAACCCCACCACCAAAGACATTTTTCCCTCCCCACCCTTATCTACTGTCCGGAGGGACCACTCTCACCGGGACTCCCTTGTCCGCTCCACACTCCCCTCCAGCCCCACCACACCCGGCACTTTTCCCTGCAACTGCAGGAAGTGCTACACCTGCCCCAACACCTCCCCCCTCACCCCCATC